AAGGAATGTTTAACTTACTACAATCAGTTGTCAAAGTATTAAATATCACTGGACATGGCTGCCGCCGATATGCATATATAGTACAATATATACTGTGTACATATACTGCCATATGTACATATATACAACGTAGGTTTTCCAGACAAAGCATTTTCATTTAGCTCACAGACTCTCACACCGCTGAGCAAAGTCTATTAGATTAAGACTTGGATACAAGATCAGCTGAGGTTGAATAACCTAGTGTGCTTGGTAAATTCAATACATGTGAAAAGCCACCTGGTTGGACACGCAATATCTGCTACAAAGCATCTGCAGAGAAAATAAGACTTGAAGACTATAATTTTAGATTGAAATAAATTACCAGCCTATTTCTGGTACGGGTCAACTGTATTCAGTCAAACAGAAAGGATATATTATGGATGTTGGATTGATCCAGTGACAGATATGAAAAACCAATAAACTGGCATAAAGAAAACCATGCCATACCCTTTTCAAGCCTTTAACATGGATTTACGTTTAGAGGTTTGTATCATAGGTTATCTAATGCCTCTGAAAGTCACAACAATAACCATCAAAGAGTGCTTACCTGTGAAGCCGTTCTGGGCGCTGTAGCTGGTCCGCACCTGTTGGGGCTGAGCCTGGGCCTGAAGTTGTGGAAGTGGCTGGGGCTGGGGCTGGGGCTGAGGTGGGGTCTGGGGTGCAGGTGAGGTGAGGGGCTGAGGTGGGGTCTGGGGTGCAGGTGAGGTGAAGAGAGCCTGGGGCGTGGAGCTGAAAGCTGGGTTTGGTCCTGGTGAGCCATGAGGCGAAGCTGCCTGGGCCGGGGCAGATGGGCTGAGAATGGGTTGCGGCTGCTCCACCTGGGGCTGTCTGAGGGTCTGAGCCTGCTGCGGGGAGGCTGGCTGCTGCCTCTGGGTGGAGCTCGGCATCTGGGCCAGGGGGGACTTTTGGAAGGTGGGAGGCTGGAAGGTCTTGTCTGGGGTGGAGGAACTACGGGTGATAGGAGGGCCCAGGAGTGCATCCAGGTGGGGGCTACTGCTGAGGATGGAAGAGGAAGATGAGGATGGAGGTGTGGTAGTGGTGGTTGGAGGGGCAGGTGAGGTGATGGTCTGGGTCAAAGGAGGAAGCTCTTGGGTAGGAGGGGGCCCGGTGTACGGAGGGTTATCAAAGAGCCCTCCAAACTCCATGTCCTGGTTGCTGATGAGCTGTAGCATGTCTGAAGAAGGAGAGAAACCAGAACCACTATCACTGCTATTGACCAAGTAGAAAAATATGTAAGTAATCAATATCCCAAACTGCATCTCCTTCATTTGCATATTTAATGCTGGTCAGCCTTACATCGACCCACACAGTGTTTATGATACAACAGACCAGAGGAAGCACTTAAAAGTAAGCTAATATAATCAGTCTAAACAGTAGCAGTGACAAAGCTTTTACTGCAGCGTGGGATAAGGATGCACATTTTGATCCAGAACCATCTAATGTTATAAGGTCAATCTTAGAATAAAATAAGTATAAAACATCAAAATTGTTTATTGGGGAAAAAAAATACATGATCATTTTAGCTTCTTTTTAACTGTTCACCAAATAGCCAATTTATGATCGATGATGCAGCTTTAAATGGGGCATCTTAAAATGCTAAAAACATAAAGGCAGTTTTTGATTTCAATACATTATGGTTTCTTTTCATACAAAAAAAATATAACATGAATTAGAACTAGTACTGAATAACAAAAATTGGATTCTTAAAGGCTAAAATAACAAAACCACATTCACAGTGCATGCTGACATGCACAGTACAAACACCCAGAGCACGAGGTACACATATAATGAACTTTGTACGTGTCATGTTCGTCAACCAATGTGCAGTCAGACTATTTTTAGTATTCCCGCAGCTGTGGGCCTACAAGGTACTACAAGGGACAAGCAGAAAGTACTGTGACAAACATATATGAAAGAGTCATGAAACTAACTTTATGGTCCCATTGGCATCAGCAATAGGTTTCAAAATGTATTTCTTCATACAAACTGCTACGTGTGAACTGCTTCATGAGTAATGGCGTTAAATTAACACAGGAAATATAATGTTCAAAATAAATGTGACAGCACGTGGGCACTGTTATACTCTGCTCTAGAAAGATTGACTGATTATTTTATACTCTAATTTTGAGCTGATGAAGCTCACCAGGAATATACTGCAAAAAAAAAAAATATATATATATATATATAAATAAAAAACTCCAGTGACACTTTGAGTGTTATGTTGTGTCTGCAGTTAAACGCAGCACCCTGGATTTGTAATCCAGTGTTTTGTATGAGGTGATCGCTCTTGACCAATCAGAGCGCGTCTCAGAGACTTGCTATGCCGATCAGCCCAAGGAGAGAGAGAGAGAGAGAGAGAGAGAGAGAGAGAGAGCTGTCTGTGGCTCTGCACAAGGTTACCATCGAGCAGCATCACCCAGGGTTACTGTCGGTCAAATGTAGGAAGTGGGCGATATCCATTACCGAGTACAGTACACGGCGATATTCACAAATACACGCACACACACACAATCAGACATCACTGGAAAGCAAATGGAAACAAAAATATACAACTAATACAAATATATGTGTCTCCCTAAACGCTGTTTTTATTTTTTAGTCTACAGCCTAAACAATACATCAAACGAGTGAGAATGTGACTACAACACAAACATTAACAGCTCCATAGCTACCGCCAGTAATCAGACAGTGAGGTGCAGTAGAGGATATCGTTTTAATAATACTTGTGTTTGTTAATAAGGTTAAGCGAGGCTCTGTTAACCCACCGGGGAGGAATGAACCACAGTAACCTGTCTGTGGGGGCGGGGCGCACTCACGACCATTCACCAGCAGGTTGGCCTCAAATATTAACGCAGCTTAACTCTTAAAATAATGGTTCAGTGGTTGAAAGACAACGAGAGTGTGACAGTGAGTTGTGGTCCAGTGCAGGAGACCACCTACTCTCACCTCAGCTCACCGTTATCTACTGCAGCTAATGATAGCTGAGGGACGCTAACACTGTGAGCTTAAACCCTTGAAGTTGGCCCACTTGTGGTACTTTGTGTTGGTATACGGTGGGGTTTTCAGTCTGAACATTAAATGTGAAACAAAGGGGAGGTAAGTCGTGAAGCACAAAAGGCATACAGGAGGAAGGGCTGGCTTACAAACTGTTAAATGCGACTGGGTTAGCCGGCGAGCTATCTGTCGTTGTTGCATTTCTCTTACCGTCAATGTCGCTCAACAGGGCCGTGTCAATATCGCTGGGGTCGTTGAGCGACAGCGTTGGGTCCAGGTTATCCAACGAGGGGTCGTCAAAAGACAGGCTGTTCATCTTCACTCTTGTGTCTGGCTCTCCAATGTAGACTTGACTTGGCTGTGGAATCGCTCAGAGGGGGTTAAAAAAAGAAAAATCGGGACACTTCTCACGTCCCTACATTTGCCAAAGCGTCAGATTTCCCCCTCCCGAGTTCACCTGAAACACGCGTGAAGTGAGCCGCAACTTCTTACCGATGTGTGTCCTGAACTACTCTCACTCTACCCCCATGATCGTGCAGGGAAACTTGTCCAAAGCAAGCCAAACACCGAGGCTCATTCACTACTAACGTGCTTACGGCGGCAGCCCGACGAACCCACCCAGCCGAGGGTTGATTGACAGGCGCGGCAGCCAATCACAGCGTCTGAAGCGGATTCCCACGTTCCTGTTGCTCAGGGTTGTTTTGGTTATTTGACTGAAGAGGTGACAGCATGTCGAGCTTATGTCATATTTTACGACGACGTACAGTGAGATGATTATTAATGCACTCGACACTCTGATATAATAGCTCCAGAATATCTATATGGATCGCTTTGAAAAAAAAAAAAAGTACGATGCAATTACTATCTACTGTGTATAAATGTAATATGTTTTATATAGACTAAACTAGCCGGTGCTATTCGCCCAAGTCGTGTAAAAACATTATGACCACCAGGCACACATTTCCCCAAACTATATATTTTGATGGAAACAGCATGGATGTGTTTATTGTGGGTTTGCCCCCAGCAGCCAATGAGAGCTGAGCGGGCGTGTGCGACTGCTGAGCAAGTTAGTTTGACGCGCAGCGGCGGCTCCTCCTGTAGAACCAGTGAACTCGTCCAATGGGAAGCTCAGGAACCGAGTGGGGTGATCTGACGTCACATCTCTGGGTCTAGCGATTACATCATGTGTATCTATCTTAGACTGGTGGTGGCAGCGGGAAACGACCTGCAGGGACGCAAGTGGGCAAAAATAATTACAAAAACATGGGGAATATTGTCATTTTTGACCCCAAAAAGAAATATTTAGGCATTCCCTTACTGTTGTTATACACTGAATTGAGCTTAGTAAAGTGAGGCTTCAGTAAACAACACTTTTAATTGTTAATAATGTAAACAGCTGCTGTTATGTTTGTTTAATCTGTCTGTCAATGGCCATGGCAAACTTTATTTTCAGATCAGTATCAGCTTAAGTAGAACTATAACGTGAGCACTGTCACATGGGCACAAAGGGGGGAGCCCCACAAAGGCAGGGTGGGGAAATAGGTCAGTGACCTAGAGTAACACTGCAAAAGTTGTTGTCAGAACTAAGGGGAGTGGAGTAATTTGTGAAAGCCTGTCAGCAAGCTTGTTATTGTTGTTGGGTTGTGTTTGTACTATAGTGCATTTCTTATTCACTTGCCCACTTGAAAACGTGCCAATGATGCTGCACAGGAGACTGAAGGAAGCAAACTTTTCTAAAAGCTGCATGTGTCCAAGACTTGTTTATGTTTTATGTGGGGTAAGCTATGGGAGCCGAATGGATAAAGTGTCCATGAATCAAAGTGTGGGAGGGGGGGTGGGAGGCTCATGTGACAATGAACGGCCAGTGCAAGACTGAGGGTGGGTTGCATCAGCATGTGCACATAAAGAAGAAGCAGGAAATTGTCACACAATGCTTGATTGTAAAATAACCACAAACAGTTGTGAGGTAGAGGTCACACACTGCTAGTGTTTTATTGGGCAGTTACATACGTGCATTAGGTCAAACAGAAATCTGACCATTAGTAATGGCAGCAGACGGCACAACCAAACAGACACATCAGAAAACAACCCTCTCTTCCATGTCCACAAAACATCCAGCTAAACGTTCTGCCTCATCTGTATTAAAAGACATTCAATAACCATTTTGAGAGCCAGAATTTCGAGGAATACATGTTGCAATCGATGAGGACTTAAGCCTCATAAAAGCAAAGTAAAACAATACACTTACACATCCAGAGATATGTAACACACAAACAGAAAAAATACTCAAGTTCCCTTTTAAAGGATCTCCTGTTACATTTTAGTAATCCTCTTTGATCAGCCTGCATGGTAAAAGTTTTTCAAAGTGAACACAATGGTTGATTGTAAATTTAACGCTATTATCTCAGTTACCTGGCAACCATACTAAAACCTATATAACCATACAGCATTAAAAAAAAAAGTTAAAGCTCATTAATAATTAATTTTCCTCAACTAAAATACATTTAAATATTTAATCATGATTATGTAGACACAGATCATTTCTCAATGTCACCACTGCATTTATGTTAACAACTCATGAAGATTTCCCTCTAGTTGAAGGCCTATACTGACAACAGATAATTCAACAAGTTATTTTGATAATTGATTAAGCTTTTACAACTTGGGAGGAAATGGAATGCCTCGACTGACGAGGCTTTTGGTCTTAAATGGACTAAGAGAAAAACAACAAAGAAATCTTTCAAGTGCAGAGCAACATTAAAATAAACCAGAGCCTCAGCAAAAGAGCTGGAATGAAAGACAGGACTGCTTTTTCCCTCAAAGTGTGATCTTAACTACAACAAAGACAATCTCCAGTCGAAGCTACTTTGCTGAAATCAGTCAATCACAGAAATGCTTGGCAGCCGCTCCGACGTTGGAGTGGATGAATCATGCCAGTATGAAAGTACATCTTTGACTGCACAAATCAAAGAATGTGCAACTGTGTTTGTTTGCTGCATGCCTCAGCCTCAACCACAAAAAAGATCAATGATGACGGGTACAAACATGTTTTCTTCTTTTTTTACATGAACTATAAAAATACAATCAGGGGATCAAATAATACATAAACCTCTCTGCAATCTGGATATTACTATGAGCCGATACATTTTTAACCAGATGCAGAAACTAAAATTCTTGTATTTTGAGGTATATAGATTACATAGTATAGAGTAAGTGAAGTTCTACCTATATGAATATATCCTTTACAACAGTGCATTCACTGTAAGCTATACGCTGTCTTTTAGTCGATTACTGTGCTAGCGCTAAGTCAAGCTGCTAATTTAATGCCATAATTTGTCTTGTATCTTAAGGTCATTTTGAATAATCTTTAAAAGTTTTTGCAACCCTACGTTTAACAGTCCATCAATCCACTTCGATGTGAACAAGCGCTGCAATTACACAGTTAGAAAAACGTATGTGCAAAATGATGTCAATCGAAAGACCATTTCCCATCCCCTAGAAAAATAGTTACCATCTTGTAAACACAAAGGACAAAATACAGATTTGTTTATGCTTCAAAGTGCACAGACATTAATAGAGCAGGGGAAGGAAAATGTTCATCATCCCTTAATATATATTAGACCTGATTATTGTTCGACAGGTAAAATTCAGTGCTAGTTGGTCATTAAAGCCTTAATATTCTTTGGAATGGCCGGGTGTTTAAGGGAATACTTTTATCAGCTAATTTGTTGAAGCTTTTCAAAGGAGTGAAAAGACTTGTGGGAAATATTCCATGGGCACGTTCCTTCCCCTTAGCCATTTAAAATACATAATAGAGAATCCTAACTAGTGCTTTTAGAGTTTTAGTTTTTGATTTCCTTTGGTTAAAAGGATCGCTGGCATACACTCATCAAGATTAGCTAAGATTTAGCTATTATATTCCTAGTTAGCAAAATTAGCCTGCTAACACAAGTCTTTTCTCCACACTGCTGCAGGAAAACATGTTGCCATTCCACACATGTCTCAGTATAAGAAGCATGACTACAGCTCTGACTGGAGTATTTGTGTAAAAAAAATAAAAATAATAATTGCATGTATCTGACCATAACCACAGCGCTAGTACATAGTACAGAACAAAACAATAAATGCATAAATTAGCAATTAGTAGAATGTAGTTCAACAACACAATACAATCCTAATTGTATGCTTCCATACTGACTCAATGCATTGACCTGCAGTGAACGTTTTCCATTAATCTCGCAGTAATATACCACATTTTTAAACCACATCAGACGAGTCAAGTCGTCTTCCTTTGGTGGCACGTTACAAATGAGATGCAGGGCTGCGAGTAATACATCCCACACTAACAGATTAATACATCCATATATAGCAAAATGCAACACAGTTGTGCGCAGTAAACATGATGGACCTCTGCAGGTTAGAGCAACACTGTGGCAAGAGAATGACGAGGAGGTGGAGATCACTTGCTACACCAGTGCCTGTCAGCGATGAAATGAGACTGGAAGGACTGTTTGGGGGGGAATCATTTAGGGCGAGGACCTTTAGATGCCCCAGAGAAGAGATTGAGGTCCTCTGAGAACAGTCTACAAGGCAAAGAGGGCGTCTTCCGTCCGTTCAGCCTTCTTGTGTGAGCCACCGGGGGCACGGACGGGGTGAGCAGGGTTAGCTCCGGGGGGAGATGGCAAAGAGTCTGCTGCCTTGGCTCGCTCCTCCAGGAACTTGTCAAATTCTGAAAGAAACAAATAGATTTGTCAGAGACACGGAGAGTTGAACGTTTATCACTGTTATATTTTGAATATGTACAAGTGTGAAAATGTACAAAACTTCATATACACGTTTGAGCTCATGGAACAGAAATAAATTGTGATTAGCATATACCTTCACTGGTCACCCCTTCCTCTGCGGCATCTCCTTTCTATTAAGAAGGGGGGAAAAAACCATAAGATAATATACACATTATGAAATAAACTATCATTAATGGAGTTGTCTTTGTTTCAAAAGACAAAAATAAACCTTAGTGGACAGGGTAAAAAGCATCATACAAGTCAAGTGCCTGTTATGTTCACACAAACTGAGACAAATCCGTTCAAAGACGCTCATTACGGACCCGTCAATCATGCTTCCTTCCACACCTTTCGCAGGTGAAGACAACCTTGAGCTCACACAACCTCCACATGCATATGTTAAAGAAGCTCATATCAGCTGTTTCATGTTGACTATCATTAGCACTATGTTAGCGTTTGTCAAACCTCACAGGGAAAGTGTTATATGTCAGTCATTGGTGGAAATGCATTAGATTACATTGAATGAAAGGATGTGACAGGAAACTTAATTGAAATATTTGCAGTTATATATGAGATGGTTGGATGAAATGTGCTATCAAAGAAAAAAGAAAAAATGAGGGAAGAAGAGAGAGAGAGAGATAGAAGAGAAAAAGATATAAATCAAGGTAAAGTCTCACCACGTCAGCACAGAGCCACTCCTCTATGTCATCCATGACAGAGGACTGCGATACGGGGATCTATGGAGCAAAGCCATGGACAAACCAAGAGGTAGCACCAAAGCCACGCAACAGAAAGACACCCAACCCGGACAACAAAAAACAAAAATTGTAACACACACACAAACACACACGAGAAAAAAAACAAAAACAAGAATTGGAATCACCAAAAGCTCGGAGAGAGGAGGATGATCAAAATAAAACAAATCAAAATGAAAAAACAAAACAAAAGATTTGCTCAAAAGACACACTCAACCCCTCTCAAGTCTGTGCTCTTATTGTTTTGTCATGTGCGACAATCTTCTACGAGAACAGGAGTTCCCAGGTTGTGTATTGTTCTCATTAGTTCTGTAGTGCTGACACGGCTTAACAGCTGCCGACTAATGTCACACAGCAGCGTTAATTATTCCACATCATTAGTTAATTAGCAAATCGCTTGAACGTGATTAAGAGATTGATTGGATGGGAGACGCTGAAAGCACAGGGACCGTTGAGAGGCAGGGCAATCCCACGGCATACACATACGTGGAGCACACACACGCACTACCACACACACACGCTGCACACATAAATGCTGCATGGCGTTCAGTGACTGTAAGGATGGAAGGCATGTCAGGGTGGATGGTGTGCGTTTGTGTTCATGATCACAGCGAATCAGGACTGCTGGGGAAAGTGTCTTGCATTATACGTAAGAAAAGGCATTGAGTTCACACACAACACTTCAAAGTCTCGTCCTCCGCATCCCTTCCCTGCCTATGCGATGTAGTCAAAGTCCACATTTGATGTCGACGTGATATCAAAGTCTAATAGAGGGCCTTTTATATGCTACAAAAAAACCCAGGCAGGGTGTCTGTGTGAGATCACACCTAAGGCAGTGAAGGAGCATTTCAAAATAAAGGCCAAGGCAGTGAAAGTCATTCACAGAAAAAAATAAATAAAATAACACATGCAGCGGTGCGAACAGGGGAATTAATGTTGAAAAGTGCACTTTAAGAAGTTTGTTCCTATCATGACTCACCGCTGGTATAAGCGTAATAATGCATATTCAAATATTCCGTCATAACATCAGCTCACATCAACACACTTCCAAATATTACAACTATTACTATTACATTTGTTAGTTGGCTGATCTATATGGGGTTAGTGTGAGATGTGAGGATGTCGTTAATTACATCTAGTGTATTATCTGAGATCCAAAGACAGTTAGAGGACAGTTAGACAAATACTCCCCACTACACAGCAAACCGGCACCCATTTCCTTATTCCTTATTAACAATGATGAACAGGGCTCATCATTGTTGATTTAACCTTGCTGTGTAGCAGAAGTATCTTTACCTCTCTGCTGTTTTAGTGAGTGACTGTTAAGAGATCAATCGAGCTGATAGAAATATTCCATCCTTAAAGAAAGCATCAGTAATGCTTGTCCATGTTAATAGAGTACAATAGAGGTGGGCAATATGGGTAAATCTCTATAAAAGTAATTTTACATACTCCTTTTTGGAAATGAAATTGATAAACTGGTTGCATCAGCGAAATACCTAGAAGAATGTCTGTTTTTTGGTTAATCCAGTGAATTAAATACTTAATAAATTAAGATACTTGACCATGCAAAAATCCTGTAAATTCTGTATTGCCATAAAAGAGTCCTGTTTACTGATTTTAGATTTTAAAGAGAAGGCTACATCAGCAAAAACAGTAAAATAAAATCAGCACCCGGTGACAAATCTCTGAAGTCTTAAGATGCCATCATATTGCCCAAAACTACAGTACAACATCTGCACATGACATGGCGGTAGACGTTCTTACAGGGGAAAACTTTGTTTGTACTGGACTTGTTCAAGCATTCCAGGACAGACCGGTGAGATGAGGCTGAAAAATTAACAGCAGCTCATGAGGTTTATGGATGATGCAGGAGGTTGAGAGCAGGGGTGATGGCGGACATGAGGGAGGGGGGTAGGAGGACACACTGAGGATGGAGTCCTCACCATTCCTTGGGTAATAAGCCAGCTGTCTATGGGCAGCTCCTGATCTGCTGGGTTATCATCCCCTTTTACCCTCAGCTGAATCAACAACAGAACAACACCTTACACAAGAGAAGAAAGGTAGCAGGCCCCACCACAGCATAGCACACAGTGCAGAGAGAGAGACAGAGGAGAAGTCAAATATGCAAGAGACGATTGCCATTTAAAGGGGGAGAAAAGAGGGGAGAACGGAAAAAAAGAAAATGGTGAAAGGTTCATTCCTTAAAGATGAGAATGAAGAAAATAAATAAGGAAAAAAAAAAGACTCTCTCAAGTAAAAGTACTTTACGAAGCATAGGGCACTAAACTAAAAAAAAAAAAAGGGATGGTATGTACAATCACTGCTGTGTATGTTGTGTGTGTGTGTGTGTGTGTGCATGTGTGTATGGCAGTTCAGGTTTCAGAATAATCTGTGTACACAGTGATAACAGTGCAAATTTTGCAATGTGTGCTCAGACAAGGAGAATAATTATGAAAATCTTGAAACTAGCATGCGAGTTTTGTGTTTGACTTTCTGTACTAACTTCATTGTGTGGTGTTTTATTTAAATAAACAGAAACTGAATTAAGAAAGTACAGACATCTGGTTTGAAGACTGAGTAATCTGAACCATGTTTCAAGTAACTGCTTGAACTAATAATTAATTTACCCAGAACAAATGCAAAAACAAATACACATATGGTACCATTTTGTGCACTTATTTATAGATACGCTTAACACTTGCACAGTCATCGCTTTGCAAGATGTTTATTTTAGCTATTTAGAAATAGCAACAGTCAATACACAAACCTACGCCTTTTTGTTTGATCAAAGTTCGAGTGTCACTGCACACAGGACAAATGCCACTGTAGCACGTACAGTATTACAGACCATCGCATGCAGGAAGTGACCGAGGGCTGAGGACAAACTGGTATAGGAAGGCTCATGTAAGCCATGTAAATAACACAGCATCCCCACAGTCCATATATGGGTGAAAGCTGCATTAAACTACATGCATACATCAGTGTACTCACCCCTCCTGTGTTCTGTTGCCTCACATCCAAAGCTGAGGCCAGGCCGCCCAGAGCCTGGGGGTCCTCATACTTTACACTGTGAGCAAAAACATAAACAACACAGTCAAGATTGGAGCACTGAAGCAGCAGAATGAAAAATTAAAAACACCAAGAAACACTCTATGAAAGATCCTCCCTAAAAAGTATTTTTAACATGGTCAAAAACAGTAAAACACCCAGCGTTTCTCACAGATGTTGATTATATTATATTTCATTTTCATGAATGTCTGATCAAAGGTTAACATTAACTGAGAGTTTTTTGGCCATATTGCCTTTGAGGATCGCATAAAGAAAGAAGACTGAAAGAGGAGAATCAAATGCAAGGAAGGTCTGGATTTAAACCAGGGATGTTGCTGTTATTTGGTACAGACCCCTGAGCCAAGACATTTTTCCTCAACTGGGAAACCTACCTTACTGTCCCTTACTTTATCGCTCTTATTTTCTGCACCTAAATGATTAACATACAGCTGGAGGCAACAACTTCTTGGTGGAGAAAATTCCAGATTAACATCCATACCCTGCAGGTATTCAAAAGCCATTCTAGGCTTTGCAGGAAATAAAAAACATAAGTAGATGAAGTAAGGGCAGGTTAAGGGACACTGGGCACATCAAAAAGTAAAGCATAAAACTTTATCTTGTATGCAGTGAACATCACGGAACAAACTGTGTAAGAGTGCCCATGGGTGGATTTTATTTTAAATATTAAAGGTGGTTATGAATAGCTGTTTAATTAAAATAAATCACACCCTGAATAATAACATGAGCAGATCTGGGCTGCCCCAGAAGCAAAATCATTCTAGACCTACTTTTTGCGCTGTTCAGCCAGAGAGCTGCTCCTGGTCTGGGCAAACATGTCAAAGTCATCCGGGTTGCGACCTGATAGAGAGGACAGGGTACCGCTCACGCTGTCTGAAGCTACATCTGGAGAGGGAGACAGCGAGAGAGGGGATCAGAAAAGTCACTGGATAACAAATTAAATGAAGATCTGGCATGCAGAGACTTTCTAGAGCCCAACAGGGGAGGCAAAAGTGTCTAGTAATGAGTTATTTTGCTGGGATTTTTTTTCCCATTAGTAGACAGATTATGAGCTTTTTTTTTACACTCTGCTGCTCCTCCAATGCCAGGTCTGCAGAGACTAGTAAGGAGGGATGTTACAGCTCTGGTGAGAGTGAGTGTCTGCATGTGATAGTTGGAACTTAGAAGTCTTTCTCTACTTCTCCACGCTGGGAAAAAGAATCGATACCGTTTTGTTCTTACCAAGACCAGCGAGTGCAGTGGACAGAGAGGCTGTAGGGGGGTTATGGGCTGGGGAGGCAGCGGCCAAGGCGGTGGAGTGGGACGGAGGGCTGGAGGTGATCCTGGGAGTGACCACGGCAGGGGAGCCTGGGCCCAGGTCTATCAGGTTGTCCTCTGTGGCCTCATTTAACATCTAAAAGGAAAATGAAAGAAAATGTGTCAATATTGTCAAGGTCAATATTCAGTGCTTTTGAGGTGCTGAAGTGGACGAACGTAACTGAGTTCAGCCAGCAAATAGAAATGAAGAAAGCTTAAAAGCTTGTTGAGAAAATTAAGATTACAGAGTGTGTTTGCCCTTTGTATACAGAGAGAATACTTTATAGCTACACAAAAGTCTACAGGATTGACTATTTACACAATTTGAAACAACACTGTGGGTGAGTAGTTGACTGGAGGCTGTGCACAGGGACAATAGCGAGGGTTGAATAAACACACTTCAGATGTGTGAGACAGAAGGGAGGAAGGAGGAGAGGGAAGGACACATAGTATCTAGTTTCACACGGTGATACTGATGTTGACACGTCATATGGGTCTAAGCATCAGCACCATACAGCAGACGTGTAAACAGTTTATCACTCTGTTCATCCCAGCACACTGGCTAAGATCAAACGTGGTGCTAGCTTCATACTTGCCTCCATCAGCTAGCCACAACACAAACAGACAGAACACACAGAAAGATCAACAGAAAGCAAAAACAAACAGCTATGTGGGATGTAGTGAGAGATGTCCCGATCCTCTGGCGAATCACAGATATTGGCACATGTATTCTCTAAATAGCAGATTGGAACTTGTTCTGCTTTGCTCTTCCAATTTTCTAGAAAGCTAAAATGCAACCCACTTACATTACATATTAATGCTGCAGAGATTGGGTTTGCTTGTATAAATAGTAATTATCGAGAAACATCTCTCACAGCATCCTTTATGTTAAACAAATTGCCACGGGCGATGCAAATGTAGATGTATTGAAATGGAAAAAAGATACACATTTTTCTGAAAACATGCTAAAAGCTAACAGAAATCAAGCAATCCCAAGAGAGAATTTTGTGTGTTTGATGAGGTTCTTGTTGATGGTACTCACCCCGTTGTTCTGTGCGGCTCTACCCGACCTGTACCTCTCGTACCTGCGAGCAGCACAAAAACCTTTTTAATGTTTTGCCACAAGCTTTGTGAGGTTCAAATGCTTACACGGCTTTTATCTTCAGAAACCTCATGAAAGAGACATTTTACCCATGTCAAGCCACAGAATGGTTAAAAGAGAAGGAGCATGAGCACAGGTCTTTATACAAGCTCTGTAACTTTATTGTGATTGAACTCACATTGTGTTCAATCTGTGTTCTCTTAAAAACATCTGGAGTCTCATCATTAAAATCATGGATTGAGAAACAGTTGGGCATACAAAGACATTTCTAGCAAGCACCAATTATTTATCCATTAAAAATTTGACAAAAAAAAACATGAAGCAAAATCATCAGATTTTCAAATGACCAAACCTTCACAGCACCGCATCAAAAACGAGCATGTAATGTCTCCACAAAGCCTGAGTGACGGTTTGATTGGTCTTACCTCTCATATCGCAGGAAAATGTTGTTGAGGTCGTCATTGACGTGCAGCAGCTCCTCAGTCACTTCCTCGTTAGAGACACGGGAAATCAGCTCAACTACTCTCTGCTGCATAGCCCTGCATGTTCTGTTCAGCTCCTGCATAGATTGGCACATCAACAGATTGATCAATAGATTCATTGATAAACCACAGAAACAGAAAACAAAAGGACACGCACAAATAGGCAAAGGTATGACCACTAATGCCTCTAATTGTTTCTTTTTTATATCATACAGCTGAATCCTGGCTGAATGGGAAGAGAGCGTCGCCAAAATCTGTGAAAATTAACTGTACAATAAATATACTGTATGTATATTTTTCGCATTCGCTTTCAAAGGTGAGCGAGTTTGTTATGTTTTATTTGCTCAGCTGTGTAAAAATTCTGTGAATTCTTTTTCTAAAGCAGTTGGAAAAAGAAAAATCAGAAAAGGTACCACGTAACTGTTACAACTGGCACGGGCACCTTAGCACGGGGCCAGATCCTTGCAGCTGACACAAATACCTGAGTGGATTTGGCCTGAGGAGATTAAACTCTACATGAGTTTCTATACCACTGGTTAATTGCCAATTCCAGGAATTTTGCCACAGCCAACTGGCTCTTGATAGGCGGTGGGAGAGTTGAGAATTTCCTCTGAAAACTAAAGACACTACTCCCCCTGGTGGCTGCACATAACACTGACGTGCCATGTTGCAAAGCTTTTCTGCAAGTGTGTGGGAATTCATATAGCAACATATTTTCCATGAGCCTATATTCACAGTATTTAATTTTAGAGTAGAGATACAAGTATGAAATGAGATATGCTTGTTCCAAATTGTCCTCTGATTTATTCATATTTTACTTGATGTTTTAAGTAACCACATCAACCTAAAATCTGCATTAAACATTAAAATGCATAAAGGTCTGCTGTTGTGATGAATATTTTAAAATGATGTCAGGCATAACATAAGCAATGATGTGTGAAGTTTGCATGTATTTAAGATAGACCTCTTAATGTATTCATATGCCTCTAACCTGAAGCAGTTCTAGGTCAGAAGCATCTTCCTGGCCAGGGACCATCTCTGTTAGCATCTCTGACATGACTTTGGTGTTTCCTCTCACTACATCCAGCTCACTGCGCAGCCGGGCGATCTGAAAGCACAAAGAGTCAAAGGTCATTTAAAAACATTCAGGGCTGCAGATGTTTTTGAAGGCAATAGAGTCACTAAAATCTTGTAACCTGCATTAATTTATGTACAGCCTAATTGCTAACTCTCCATACATCTGCTCCTTTGCGAGACTGCTGAAATGGGCTGTATAAATGAATGACTTCACTTTAAGAGCAACAAATGCAGCAAAACATTAATGCGATTGGCAAAAGTTTGCTGTCGCTGCCCCTCACCTGTTCGGGGGTTGCTGTGATCGGACTGGGCACCTGGGGCACCTGGGGCACCTGGGGCAGGGGCAGGGGTCGGGGAAGGTTTAGGAGTCCCAGCAGCAGGTGAGGCAGGGGCTAGGTACTTGATCATGGCCGGGTCTACCTCTGGTGTACCCTGGAAGACAAAAATACCCCTACGGTTATTGCTATGTGAATATACATCTGGTTTGTAGCATATGTGTTTTTTCATTTTCTCTCACCCTCTGCGGCGTGTGGATGGGAGAAAGTGCATCCAGGTCTGCCATTGGGAACTCAATGCCTTTCCTCTTCAGTTCCTCATAAATGTGGACCACACCAGTTAGATCAGGGCTACTCCTGAAGGCATCAGCCCAAGCCTGCCACAACACACACACACATACACTCAGTGACCGTAAACATAAAAAAAACAAGTCATCTTACATCACAATATCAGTTCAAAGAGAACATTTTTCATCCTGCCCTTGTGCAAAAAAAGAAAAACTAATGGTCAAATACTTTATTAATACACTCTCTGATGGTGTAAATAGACCGAGCAAAGGACAGAAAGACAGAGCCTTAAACAGGAGTCTCTGTGGGGTCTCCTTCAACAAATCCCTATAAATAATTAGAGGATGGCGGAAAGAGAGATGGAGAACACCACCTGTTGGCCGAGGTAGGTGACCTCGGGTAACTGGATAGCACCAGAGGCAACACCTGGGAAGTGGAACATACGGCGTACACCTGGCCTCCCCGAGAACACCAGTGACCTGCTCGATGCTATTTACAAGGCTGATTGTTACCATCCCACTGTACCGTCATTTAACAATACAATTTCATGATGCCATGTTATCCGACAAGATTACAAAGGAGGTGTGGCCTGGTTAGTCAAAACAGAAAAAGAAAGAACATTAACACAGAAGAAAGAAGCAATACCTGTATGAGCGACAGCACTTTGTCTTGTACAATGGTCGGAGGGTTGGTTTTAGGGGAAATGATTTTGACCAACACACCGTCTATGAAATCTCTGTTGGCCACTTGCACATGAAACCTGTGGCCGCAGTTCTTCACACATGTCTCCAAAACCTGCACAGAGAGAGAGAGAGAGAAACAGAAATCGAAGCCAGGTAAATTAAACAACTGAGTGTTTGTGAGTGAGAGGCAGCTGAGAAACGGAAGACTTTGCTCTCTGGTGTAAGGATGCTTTCATCACACAGAGAGGCTTTTAACTAGCAGAGCTATCAAAGATGTGGGTGCGTATGAACACTACTCAAAAGGCGAGTCTAAAAACAGCCCTGACGGTGGCTGAGAGAAGAGACACAGCGGAATAAAATGACCATGAAAGAACACAAGATCTGGAGAGGTCAAGGTTTGTGTAGGGCATAACAGCTTGGACACGGCTGAAGACACATTTGTCACACAACTGAAATACTATTTAAAGCCAGTTTTACAGTTAAAAAAGTAAGAGCTTCTCACCGTTAGCGCCAGCATCACTTCTCTGTAGTTCTTGTTGCCACCGAGTCTCTTCTTCAGTGCCCGCATGGCGTCTTTTGGCCTAGAGGGAAACGGCAGAGAAGATACAGCTGGATAAAGCACCCCAGCTGAGAGTAGGCATAACATCCCCGACTTTGTTGGAAAAAATTATTTTTCTGTGCCACAATAGCAGATGCCAGTCAGTCTGTCAGTGTAACTGTTTGACTAAGACGGAGAAGAACCATCACACCATCTGTTTTCTCTTTTTTCCTTTCTGCGTGACTATCCGTCTCTCCCAAGGCGAGATCAAAGCTGCCCATGCATGAAGAGTTCAGGTTGGCTTTCTGCATCATACTGCCCATCTCTCCGCTGCAGATGAGGCGTAATAAACTTTTATGAACTCCCGTCATGAGACACGGTACATTTACTGAGTAAGGGAGCTGAAATAGATAGAAATGGGTGGAGAAACAGCATAAAGTCTGATGTATAGCTGCCTTGGAGAGCACTCTGTGTGTTTGTGTGTGTGATTCAGTGTTAAAGTTGCCTTTTTGGATGGTGCATCTATTTTGTTACATCCCGATTCAGTACTTTTGAAAGCAGTAGAATGTGTTACAACAACATATGTAAAGTCTTTTTCAGTTGCAGAATTTCCTGAACCTCAAGTTTAAGCCTGGAGCTAACCAGATATTGTCTCACTTGCTGAACATCTTGAAGACAAGAAGCTCTGTGTTCGGTGAAGCTGAACTCCCTCTCAGTGTGTAGTTGTGTGTTTGAGTCTTTGGGTGTGACGGAGGGCCCCATGTCGCATGCCAAGACAATGAGTGTGTGTAGGCATGAAGAATGTGAAAAAGCAGGGGAAAAGAGAAAAGGGAAAGTGCTGACGGAAAAATGGAAAAGACAGATTTCAATACTCTTCCTGGCTGGGATCTCTTGACAATTACATTTATTCAGGCTAGAAAACTGTCTGTACAATACGTCTTACTTGCTGTGGGGGAAAACTTTTTCTCTAGGATACATAACCACAAGTGAATTCAATACTGTTGAATGTTTTGAAGTACATTCAAATCAAAATTTTAGATCACAGTCATATGCTGCAATGCAAAACCTGCTCTAAAGTTGTTGATAGAGAACATTTATGAATGCTGGAGGAAGCAGATTTGTGTAAAATAACTTTGAACACTGAAATACAGATATACGGGGCAAATCAGGTCATATGTGTTTGGTTTGTGTTATGGTTTCACATAAGATGCAGAATCTACATTGAGTCGTATAAACAGAGCGGGCTGGGCATCTTTTAATGCCACTGACATCAGAATTTCATTCATTACCACATTCATTCATTCAGTCAGTGACACCTAGAGAAAACAAAGGCTTTCTGTAGTGTGGGTGAAGCACAGTAGTCAGTGTATTATTCGCTGGAGTCACTCAGTCAGCCAGTGCGTGACAAAACAATGAAAGTTATGGGACCAATTCAGGAACTAGGCGTCAAATTGCCTCACTAAATCTACAGAACGTTGAGAAAAGCAAATGATTGTAACTGAGCAATGATTAACTCCTAGAAGGTGCTGCTGCTCACCCCTCGTCCGTCTCGTTTATGATATCGCAGATCTCCATGTTGAGGGTCCAGTCCTCGTTCTGCAGGCCTCCATCTGTGGCCCTCTCTGGAGGAAAACACAAAAAAAGTTCAACAGAATGTTATTTCCTATTATCTGTTGCCCTGACTTCATCACTTAATTATACCCTCCACTGCAGTCTACACAAGAATAACGAGAGAGCGTCCGTTTTTAATTTACAGTAATGTGTGCTGTGAGACGGGAAGCTGGGGACTTTTTTACACACATTGTTCATACATTGTTCATCAGTTAAATGCAGATAAAACCGCCGTGGAGTGAAACACACAACTGCCCACAGATGGTTTAGTTTAGTTGAGTATTAGTGACTCATAAGTCTTAGTTACTCGACAACTCAAACCCGAGGGTGGCTGGCTCTAAATTAAAATGTAGTTGTGATACCCGATCCACTGTTTACACGCTGCCAGCTGACTCATCACTCACCAGTAATCATGATGCTGCATTTTAGTCGGGTTGTTGATTGTTGTCTTTGCCTAAGTCGATGCACACTAATTAAAGCAAGCCGTGGTTCATAACTTTGAAAGTAAAACTGTTGTGTAAGCAAGTCAGCATATGGGGACAGACTTCAGTGCTGTCTCTCTCTAATGTCCCCTTTTTAATCAGCCAAACATCTTGTGAGAGAGATAAATCGGAAAATAAATCATACGCCGTGTAACCCTATTCACTCAGTTGAATACACTATGTGCATCCACACTTTGAAGCCCCTGAAAACTTGGCTTTCGATCTCAATGTATTTCACTATAACATTATAAATACATTTGTAACTAAAATGAGACAGAAAAACCATCCCTATGTAACATTTATAGAGTTTAACGCTCAAAGACAAACCCACCACCTGGCACCAGCATCTGATTCAACTGCTTGCTGAATCCTAATTGGTGCGCCCCAGGAACGTGACATCACCTTGTTCTAACAGAGCCCCGCCCACTTAAAACCAGTGAGCTATGGCAAGAGAAAAACAAAACTACAGAAATTTAAAATATGGGTCCACCACCTGTTGCTCCGACGCTTCCAACTCAAGTAAACGAACTAAAAGAACCAAACAGTCAGCTGGAAAGTGGGAAGCTAACGTCTCAGAGGGAAGCGAGGCTGGTTGTGGGTCTGATGCGGCCGTGTACTCAGCCACAGAGACCTGCTTTCCCCTTCACACTCCACCCTACCATTTGATAGCATTTTGGCTACCGCCAGGAAATAATGCGATCCAGGCTGTGAGAAGCAACAGTGATGAACTGGTGTTGCAGTCAGTCATCACTGCGTTCCTCGCTCTGTCTCCTCCCTCCTCCCCACGTCCCCCGGATCCATCCATCATGTCGGTGAATGCTGATATCTTTCAGGATCGCAGTCATGTGGGGAGAGATTCGCAGTGAAACACACACACACAAAAAAAGGGGTTTTCGACGACTACCGAAGTGAGCTGTGACCGAGTGCCTGTTGACTGACACTCAATAGATTCTCATTAGACGATTCTTGAGCTTGGACAGGAGGAGCTTCCCTCCCCGAAGCCCAGAGGCCCTGAGCAGGCTGTCATGCCCAGGCCAAGAGCCCCTCACTGGGCCTTGTTGCCTTCCTTTTGGGAGGCTCAACATTGGACAAGCCTGACAGCCATGACTTATTCATGCTCCACCTCCCCCTCTCTGATCAAATTGTCACTGACTGGGCAAGCACAGAGAGACAGGCATCGTTTTTTTATTTTTGAGTCCCACCTACAAACACACTTATCTAGAAAAAACAAAGAGAGACACAAAGTGAATTTCAGCATGACCGGAATTTAAAATCGCTGTGCCTCCTGTGTGAAGCTGTACAGAATGTAAAGCATAAGTTTGGAAGAATTAACCAGCTACCGCCACTGAGATATCCCATTTAATCTCCTCAAGTGGATTGTCAGGTCACGGCCGGCCGAAAACACGAGCGGCAGAAGAGAAAAATAATAATGTGAAACGGGCTAAAACGACACTGAACAATTGGAGCCTTGCTAATGAAGTCAAATGCCCGCTGAGTGCATTCATTCATGGTGTTGTGTCAATTCCCCCAGTCCTGGGAATTGACACCACACCAGTGAAGCCAGTTGATCACATGGCTCTAACGGTGGCAGGCTGTGCCACGCACTGCCAACAAAGCCATGAATCTCTGGCCCCATCTCTCCACGTTCTGTCCTCCTTCCTTTCTCTGCCCATTTTCCACTTGGCCTTATCCTGTTTATTGTATTTGCTCATTTTTTTCCTCTTACATAGCTCAGCAATAGCAGAAGTTTGACATTGTAAATAAAAATGTTAGTGACATATATAAATATGGCAAACTGACACCTAAAAGCTCTACAGATTCCCATATTCAAAGTGCATCAGTAAAAATAGGTGGTGATCCCTTTAATGTATTTCCTCCATTGAGGCGTTATAATTTATTTCGTTTCAATCGAGTCAAAATCTGTAGAAGTCGGTTGGTTTAGCTGTTAGTCTCTCGCCAATATGTTTTCTTTGAGGAAAAGGGAGCTACAGCAACAAAGTGCCTTGACCATGAAGCTGCAGCATAAGGAAGAGAGGAAAAAAAAAAAAAGAGAACCACTGCTTGAACTTCCCCTGAAAATGAAAAGACGCACACGTGGCACACACCTGCACACATCATTCACCACCTCTAACCCCTCAACCAACCTCTCGGTCACTTTAGGAAATGAAAAATCTCTACAAAGTTCTTCACGTTGCATCCCTCATCAGATGTTATCTGTCTCCTCTGTCACTCTCTCTCTCTCTCGTTGTTTCAGGTAAGCCGATCCTTTCCCCTGCTGCTGTGGCGTACAGTACCGCTGCCACAGCCAAACAAGACAGCTGGCTGTACAACTCCGCACAGAGCGGCAACTCAACCGCAGAGATCAGGCCGGAGATGCAGCCATCTCTATTAAAAGGGGGAAATCCAAGATGTGCTGCATCCAGCCCGCTGCATGCATGACCTAGAAAGACCTCTGTTGAGTAAAATGCTTGAGTCGGTGCTCACAGTTGGTAGCTGAGGGCCGTATTGGATGACATGGCACACAGCAGCTGACCAGTGGGTGGTGGGCCACATTCACCCAGGCCAGAGGGCGATTCAAAGGCCCTTTAATAATACAGATGTCCTTCCTCCGAACTGTCTCAATCCAGCGCATTAAGGAGCTTGATTAAACTACTGCATGGTTATCTACTTTCGATCTCTAGAAAGAGAAACACAGTTTGGGTAAAAACATGAAAAAACGTCTGAGATGGACACACACAGGCCCTTATTTATAAAAGAGCAGCTAGCTCTACATTTACTCACAGAAAGAAAAAGAAAAAAAACATATAATCAACAAATCCTTCTGTGACAGCTGCTGCACTTACCTAAAGGTAAACTATCGAACTATCTACTAAATCTACAGTGGGAGAAATGAACGTTTGGTCCGTATCTGTTTGGCAGGGGCTTAACTAAATATTAATTAATTTTATTTATAATTTAATTAATATTATAAAACAAGAAATGCTGCTTAAACTCTGTAGGATTGTTTACAAAACATTGTAAACACTGGCATTAAAAATCAAGGCAAAACTGTTTGCAAATAAAAGAGGGTAGAGGCTATTACAGTCGGAAAACCGAACCAAAGATGGTGGTCTCTCTATGAAAAGAACAATAATGATGTTGTTCTAACACAGAGGACAGAGGTGGGAGATATCCAGGAGATCCAGAATGGGTTAATCCTCATTACTCAGCCTTTTGCAGATTTCATTTCAAACTGATAAGGAAACAAAGAAAGGGACTACTAAAAGAACAGCTGACGATAAAGGCAAAGTGATGGTGACAGAGGCTTGTCTCGGATCAGTTCTGCAGGCAGTACGCAAAGACAGAAGCAACCGCACCAAAAGGATGTGGTATGGCCACGTCTATCTCCTCCTCTGCAGGACCAACAAACACCACAACAAAGAACTCTGAGATTTAAACTGAACTAGGCTGACCGAGCAGTGTGGTCAACTAAATTGCTCAGGAACGGAAGAAACGGTGAACTTTTAACTTAGCTAAAGCTCTGCAAGCCACTTTAAGCCATGTTACCACTGCCCCAGCCGTTCCCTCGCATCTAATTCCCCCTGCATTGTTTCACACCGTCCGCAGAGCGGCTTGGTGTGAAGGTAAATTAACTTGTGATTACAGCCGACTTAAGTTAGGAAGGTTAGCAGGCTAACATTAGCTGAGAGCTCATTCCCAGTAGATGACGTTTGCTGCGATGATGCTCGCTAGCTGGCTATTTCCACTGGCGCAACGTCAGGAGCCGTAAATCCTAGTAGAAACCACCAAATGGCTGTACACGCTCAAGCTGTGTGTGCCGCTATCTGTAGAGAATAATTTCAAGGCTAACTCACCTATACACTGGCCCACGGGAGTGCTGTACGGATTGCCAAGTAAGAACTCCATTTTGACAACAAACAATCCGCTCGGGAATGACAGAGGCTGAGGCCCGGAGGCGGTACTACCAAGTCCCGCCCACACGGCGACGCTATTGGTCAATAACAACAGAACGTTCAACGCGTATGGCTGGAATCGATGTCGGTCATGCTTAGCAACCGAAGTTATGTTCAACAAACTTTTTTTTTTTTGCACATTATGAACGTGTATTTTACTTGAAAGCGCCCTGAAATTATATATAAATGCATTAAAATGAAGAAATGACGATTAGAAAAAGCAGTAAGCCTCTGAAATATAGAATGTACAAATAGGGTTAGGTTGAATGGATATAAGTTATCCTTCATTGCACTTATGAAAAAGGTTTAACCGGAAGAAAACAACTGTGCGCAAAATCTTAGCGTCATCATAGCTAACCATTATTTTGATCTGTGTTGTCATTACGAGTATTAATAGCTCAAGCGAGTATATTTTGAAGTTTAAAGTTTATTTTAACAGAATCGTTTTGGACGTAAGTTACTTGAACGCAGCTTAGCGTCAGATAGTTGCTATGTAACAGCGTGTAAACAATAGAGGTGGAGTAAGAGGTTAGATACTGACTTTATCTTGGTACTAAAACTTGTGTTGTTGGTTTTTTAAAGCACTTTGCATTGGAAGAACAACAAGAAGCTAGATTTTGCAAGTGTCGTTGGTAGGTATAATGTTGGCTTAAATGTTTTCATTTAATTTATTCATTAATTCACTTTTGCGAGCTAATGATGGTGTTAGTTAATAAATAATCCAAGCTAAGTTACATGTTCCCCTTTTTTGGCACAATCTTTAACTGAACAAACCAAGCTCCAAATTGACAAAATATGAAAATATTTTTTCTTTGAGCAGAGGGTCAATTGAAGTCCAGCCTGCCTCCAACCCCATCGACAGCACGATGACTGTGTATTTGGGAAAATGTGAACCTATTTTGATGGATGAGAAGTTTCTGAAGGCAGCAATTGAGGAGCAAGTGTCTGCAACTCAAGAGGGGCTTGTTGCCAAGGCGGAGGGAATCCGCTTCAGTGAAATCTTTGAGCTACGTCTGGAATACAAAAGTGAGAAAACTCAAAAAATGACCAATCAGCGTATCAGTGTGTATTGGGTGGTTTAGGTATGTGAGAGGTTGTTTGTTCACAGGTATCCTGAGGATTGACCACTTGTGGGAGTTCACGTCCTTGGCCAGGCTTGATCTGAACAACAACCACATAGAAGTTATTGAGGGCCTGGACCGTCTGGTTAATCTGACATGGCTTAGTAAGGCTTTGTATTTTTATTGTGCTCATGCTTTCTTGCCAAAGTTGTGCAGGTATATTTTAAAATATCAGCCCTGTAACTACTGACAGTCACTCTGAATGTGTCCTTTAGATCTGTCTTTCAACATCATAGAGAAAATTGAGGGTCTGGAGTCTTTGCGGAAGCTTGAATTGCTGAATCTGTCCAACAACAGAATCTCTGTCATTGAAAACCTGGACACACTTGAGAAGCTCAGTCATTTCTGCATTGCAAACAACCGCCTTGAAAAGCTGGACAATGTAACAAAACTTTCTTGCATACAGTAAATCTGTCAGATAATACTGCATTTGTGTTGACAGCACTAGAACATGACAGATAGTTGAAATGACCTAATGCAAATTGATTGCATTTCAAAGGTGCTCTATCTCAGGAAGTTTAAGAACCTTTTCACCCTCAACCTGTTTGGAAATCCTTTCTCTGAAGAAGAAGATTACAAATCTTTCGTCGCAGTCTACTTTCCGAAGTTGACGTGCATAGACTACAGACTGATTGACGAGAAGATAGTAAGTACGGGCGGTGCATTTTAACTCAAACCCAAAGTTACAATTTGCTGTATTCACATAACTTTTATAGTCCTCTGTCTTAAAGCATTTTTTAGAGGTAATTTTCTTTTAAACCATGACCATGCCAAGTTTGTTTCAAAATTGGTATTTAGAATTTGCTATGTTGATACTGTATAACTAAATCACGTGTGTATGTGCAGAAAAATGAGGCATTTATCAAATACCAGTATGTCCTTGAGGAAATCAGGCTTGAAGAGCTGCAGATACAAAAAGCTGATGAGGCTCAGCAAAGCAAGGATGCGGAACTCAAATTACACACGGTGATATAAAGTTCACATTTGGAAATGCAGTTGTTTTTACACTGAGATCTGAACGCTTTTATGCAAACTGTGTGTCTGTAAGTTCAGTTCTTCTTTCCAACAGGATGCCTTTGTGGAGTTCCTGAATGGGTCTGACCTGTTTAAGAGTATGTTCAAAGACGATCCAGAGGCAGAGGTGCTGCAATGTGTGCCAGCAGTGGCTCATCTGCTTGAAACATATCCTTTGTTACCTTTGCTTTCTAATCAATGCAGGCGCATCACAAATTGTATATAATATTACTTGAATTCCTTAATTCCTACACTTACATATGAGCACCAAATGGTGGAGCTGTGTATGCAGGTATTTGAAATAGGCTTGGCCGAACATAAGCGAAGAGAGACAGAGGTGAGCTCCTTCTTCTGTGGCCAATCTAAGGCTATGACAGACTACCAGCAGAAAGCAACACAAATATTGGCAGAGTTTGAGGAGCAACACACAGAGGTGAGCTGTGAGGAGCATCATGTTTTAGAGAGGCGAATACTGGGTACGCAGTAAATTTGCTTTTAGTGAATGAATATCTCTTGTGTTCACATTATTAGAGGATAGAGGAGTTGCAGAAGTTAACAGATCCAGACCTACTGAAGGTGAAGATCAACGACCACAATGACGAAATCAACCAATTCTGCAAAAGCTTCATGGCGCTGGAGTTTCAGCTGGTCAGCCAGATGGAGGTATGTGTATCCAAATCTGCTTTTAGGTAATCCTCTTGAGACTCAATGATATAAATCATGTTGCATAGATTATTATAGAATCTATAAATACAGATTAAATACTTTACTTTACTCCCACATGTCAAAAGCTGTGTGTGTCTCTGCTGGGACTCATACTAAAGCCTCCTGTTTATTTCAGGACACCATCAGAATGTTTGACATCAACATCTCAGCCATGGTTGGCAACTTCAGTGAAACTTTTCAAGGGATATATCCTTTAAGAGCTTTGAGTAATTTCCTATAATGTAGGTTCATTACTGTTTTCAGGGTCTTGTCCTCAGTATTAAGATACTCAGAGTTCCTCATTTGGAGAAGCAACTTGCTCCCAATCCAATTTTAATCTAATCCAATCTGGGTCCCAGGGTAGTTGCTCACTTGTGTGGTCAAAAATCCAGTCTCGTTTAAATGTCAATGTTCATACACATCACCCAGTGTGGGTGCAAAATTAGCAATAAATCTAATTTCTACTTTCCATGACACAGTCATACATTTGCGCAATGTCGAGATTTGGAGAATAATTATCACGAGAAGGTGCAGGAGATTGCTGTAAAAACCCTGGAGACAGTGGCCAAGGAAGAGGTGAATGAAGACATGCCAGAGGATGTTAAGATGGTGAGTGAACAAACTATCCAAAATATAGGATTACATTATTGTTATTTGGACCACTATAGCCTGATAAAAATGTCATTGTCAGCATCCAGTGTAACATTACAGCCACCACTTCTAAAGACCTTAAAGTGTATTGCTCATTTTAGCATATACATGAAATAAGTATATATTAATTATTGCAGATATACGTAGCAGAATAATAGCAGTCTAATGGGAATGTAGATGACAGAAGAGGTCAGATGAGAAGAGGACGTGGTTTATTAGCAGTGTCAGTGTCCTCAGCCTTTTACGCCTGTGTTTTCTCTGAGTAGCTGTTTACAGACAGAGAAAAAGTGATGGACACACTGACCGCCGGCCACGATAACCACTTGATGAAGATCAATGACAGAGAGACTCAGCTGGTTACGCGTATCAATGCCTGGAAAGCGGCCCTCATTAAAGGGGTAGAGAGCTGAAATTACATGAAAATAAACACCCAAATGTATAATTTAATGGATGACGGACCTTTCCTCCATATCTCACATTCTTGTTATTGTTTTTGTCTTTATGGGTTATTATTGCAGATTCAAGACAAAGAACTGAAGCAGAACCGCATGCGCATATCAGACATCCACAGATATGTGGACCATTTGAGGGAGGAGTTGCAGTAGCATCATCAGTAAAGCATTTCACTGTGTGCAAGTAAAAATATTTGTATTTGTATTTTGTTCCCCATACGCAATAAAGAATCTCAGAAATAATTCCACCTGTTCACCTATTTCTTGCTGCCTATTTTGAGATTAAAAGGGAAATATTACTGTTTCAGTGTCATCCCTTGTTCCCTGGCCAGCCAAATACATTAGATCTGTGTGGTGTACACCTCTTTAAAATTATTATTGTTTAAAAATAACTGTAATACAGGAAGAAACATAAAAATAATCATCTGACATTTACACAATATATCATTAAAAAGGTGATGTCTTGAAAGCTTTTTGTTTCAACACAAAACAGGGTATATTTTTATTAATTTCCATAAGTAGAAATATTTTGTGAAATATTAAAAAATATATATTTAAAATAAAATACATATAGGACAAAAATAAAACGTTTGTTACAGTTTAACACATGTATAGTATTATATGTGGTATGGTAAACAATATAAGTAATATACTTTTTGTATATTTTATCATATTTGATATGATATATTACCAATAATTTGGTCGAATTATCATTGTGTGTTTCCCACATTTCTCTCACATACTGATGTTTTTAGTTGTAGTAGAAAATTGAATACAAAAATACAACTCCCAGAATGCATTCGGGTACATTATCCAATAAGACTCGAGCTCGAGCCGCGAACCCTGTTTCCAGCCAATGAAATCGAGGCAAGCTGGATTCTGAAAAGAGACGTTGCAGTATCCCTCCTCATTAGCAAGTCCATGGGCTAGCTGGACGAAATTGAGGAAAGTTTCGGACCCCGGCGGTGTCGAGCAGCTGGCAGTCCCTCCTTTATCAGCACCCATTCTCTCTCCAGCTTGTGTTGCGCTCAGTCACAAAGTTCATGACGGTTGCTGACGGTGACACTTTAGCGCTCATCATGCCTGTCCGAGCAGAGTGCTGCAGTACCACCGGCTCGGCCTGCCCATCCTCGGCCTCTCTTGTTCCCCCTGCCCCGATCAACACCCACCAGCCGGGGGTGGCCACCTCGCTGCTGTACAGCGGCTCACAGTTTCGGGGTTATCAGAAGAGCAAAGGCAACTCCTACGACGTGGAGGTTGTCTTGCAGGTAAAGTGTTCCTGTCATGCTGTAGTTATTAGTTTGTTTATATATTATGCAAAGTCAGCACATCTGTAGCCCTGTAGTTGCTAAGTCGCTAACTTAACTGACGTTAGCTCGTTTAGATAGCTGGTTGTCATTCAGTATTAATGTAACAGACCTAATTTTGAGCCAGCTGACTGTTTTTACTGTGACATTTTGAATTTAGAACAAATTTCACTAATTCACATTTTTGTTTTCACTGTTACTGTACATACAGTATCCAAACCGGTTAGCAATTTGTGCAACCAGCTACATAAATGAGTGTAATGAGTATGTATTGGCGTTGACTTTGACAGCAATATCAGCAGACAGACTAACAGAAGCTGCCTTTAAGACTTATCTCTGTTCACACCAGCCCTCCTGCGATTTTAAACATCATAAAGAAGACGACAAACAATGTTTGCACTTGTGATTTCATGCATAATTATATGTTTCTTAAATCTGTTTTTCTTGGGCAGCATGTGACCGTGGAGGACTCATATTTGTGTGGATACCTGAAGATCAAAGGCCTGACTGAGGTAAGCGTTGAAACTAGGTCAGGTGTAGTAAGACTGACCTTTATTCTGTCAAAAACTAAGCACAAACTGGTTTCCACTCGCTTGATGCAGACTAAATTGTGACAAAGATTAGTGGTAGGTAAATGCGAGGCCGGGTCTAGACTTTAGTACTTTGCCTAAGTGTGTCAACTGTATAACCATAACATTATGCAACATATGGAAGGTAAAAGGTCAGCGGGATCCTAAACTGAGTTATGAGAAAATATGCCGGTCCAGTGTTTAACATTTAGAAGAGAATTCAATATTTATAAGTACGTTTTCATTAGTGTATAATCATCTGAAAGTAAGACTTGTGTCTTAGGGAGTGCCCCGTGTACCAAGGCAATAAAAAGCTACAAAAGAATTGTGTCTACAGAGGGGCTGCATCATCTGCTACGGAGTCCGCCATGTTTCTACAGTAGCCCAGAGTGGACAAACCAAACACTGGCTGTAGATCGGGTCTTTCACGTTTTTCACAGCCACTGTAGTTTCTCCTACACGCTTGGAAGGGTAGGGTGAGGCCCGTATGTTGTCTGCTTCACCGTTCGATGCAAGTCAACATACAAGACAGTGGTTACCTCGTTCTTACTGTAATCTCTCCTGCTGATAGTTCATAGGCTGCTGCACAAGATATAAGTCTGGAGAACTATAGTGTAGTAGTGATCGACTGACAGCGGTACCTATTTAAACATTTTTTTTAAATAAATATAATTTGCAGCCATTCATGTATCGACTTCCCTTTCTTGTTTTCTCTGTGTGACAGGAGTATCCCACTCTCACAACGTTCTTTGCTGGTGAAATTATCAGTCGAAAAAGGCCTTTTTTAACTAGGAAATGGGACGCAGATGAGGATGTGGACAGAAAACACTGGGTATGTCCTCTTTGATTGTTGCTCTGCTCTGTTATCAATGCTCTGTGTGCATTCATTGGTTAAGTGTTTGTGGCGTCAAACTACGGGAAAGGCACAGTAAAAGTGGCTTACTTTGATGAGACAAAAGTTCACCCAAACTGCAGCAAGCAAATGCAGCACTGCATCAGCTCGCTCACACTTTGTGTTCTTATGTCTTCCCGAAAAGCCTGTAAATTGTGCAGAAATAGGTTTAGTCCTTTTCATTTTGTTTGGCTACCTCTTTAATAATAGATGGAGTGAGGCAGTTGCAGCACTTCCCACTGTATTGTAAGAAAAGCTCTTGACAACTGTTGAAAATGACTTTATATCAAGGAGCAACAGACATTTCTTTAGTTTATAACAATGTTATTATAATTTATGTGTCAGACTTTTAGTTAGACTTTGTGTCCCAGTTGTTGTCTTGTCATTATTTCTTCTTATTATTTTTATATTATTATTATTATTCGCTCTCTTTCCAGGGCAAGTTTAATCCTTTTTACAAATATGCCAAAAGCTTCAACTCGGATGACTTTGACTATGAAGCACTGGACAGCAGTGATTATGTGTTCATGAGGTGGAAGGTTAGTACATCATCTCATCTCTCTCGCTCTTTCCTCGTGTTAGCTTTAAGCTCTAACCTCCACTCTGTCTCTTTCCTGCACTCACAGGAGCAGTTTCTAGTTCCAGACCACACTATCAAAGACATTAGCGGCGCCTCCTTTGCTGGCTTCTATTACATCTGCTTCCAGAAGTCCACAGCCACTATCGAGGGCTACTATTACCACAGGAGCTCAGAATGGTAACCAGATTCAGTGATTAAAACAGTGCTTTCAGTCTGTTTTGCCACGTTCAGTTCATGTCTCTTATGTCGATTTTCTACTTACCTCTGCAGGTACCAGTCTCTAAACCTGAACCACGTTCGAGAGCACAGTATGCCTATTTATGAATTTCGGTGACCAACATACACACGAGTATTGAGTCAAGGAAGGGGGATAGTCCATACTGCCCTGTGGTTAAATGGGACGGGAACGACAGAGAGCCCTTTAGTGCCAAGACTGGAGCTGACCGGTTTTCCTTGCTGCTGGGAAATAAACATGTGGTCAGACTCTTCTGGTGGAAATAAAGGCATGGAGAGAGAGAGAGAAAAGTTGAAAGGAAGTCAAAAGATCAGTGACAGATGGACAGCTGCTGTAGGACTGATGTTTGCTTCGGATTTAATTTTTAATTTAATTGTTTTCTTTTTCTGTCTTATTTTAATTTCAAACCTGATTCCTTGCACTCTCATAGGAACTGTCTCCCTGTAGTTGGACAACAGCGAAGACACTAAACATGCTGGCCTTTTAGTTAAGAGTTGCAAAAGATAAAGGTATAAAGTCGTGAGGAGTTTTGTCCAGTAAAGCTTAATTTATTTCTCTTATTTTAACTCCAGAGTATCTTTGCAGTATCTCTCTGATGGCCCGTAGTGATTAAAGCAGAGTGTGACGGTGGAGTTATTGCCATAAGGTTGCAAGAAAAACGATGATGAGTAGTTGTCTACTTTTATGCAAGGTCTGTAGGACTGTAAGTTAGGGTCTGTTGCTCAGGAATGGTATGTTTGGGCAGTGTGTATTTAGAAACTGAGAACCAACAGTTGAATGTGGTAGTTGGGTGAGTTAGGATGACGGCGATGTTGCCCTCCGAACGGGTCTTTAAATAACAATAACCAATTATTTCCAAACTGCTGCTGCTTTTTCTCAACGAATATTCTGCAAATAGCTTCACAGAAAATGTTCTCTATGCAAGCCAAAGGTTACTAATGGGTCGTCAGGATGCACGATATGGATTTTTTGTTGTTGTTGTTGTTGTTGTTTTTTAGCCGATACAATAACCAATAATTACCTGCTTTTCTCATGGTCGATACCAGTAAGACAACCGTTCATTTTACATTTTTGTATTTTAAAAAGAAGTTCATAAGCTGTAGTTTGTGCACACTTGATGGTAAGAAAAGGTAAAGATGGATGATTTATTGTTTTCATAGCTCTGACCAAACCAACACAACAACAGTTCTGACCCCTCCTGGTAAAGTACATCCAAAAACTTCACAAACATTGTATCTACCAATAATTTATCAGCTTTAATTTAATAATCAGAATAATACCTAATATAAATTTCCGATTTTAAGCTGATCATTTATCGGCCCAATAATTATCGTGCATCTCTTAATAGGTAGGATTTCTAACACCACCTAACTTATTTCTCTTCCAGAGAGATTTATTTATTTATTTTTTAT